GTGGCTATGTTGAACAAAAGGGGTGAAATTACCGCTCCCTGTGGCGTGCCCCTCGCACCCAGGGTGAATGCCTCCGATTTCAATTCGCCAATCATTATGGTGGCCTTGCGGTCCCTCAGGAAGCCGCGAACATAGCCGTGGAACTTGGGACCTAATCCCATGCGCTCTACCTCCTCCAGTATAAACTGATGTGAAATCGAATCGAAGGCCTTGGCAAGATCCTTGAACATCTGGGGTGTGTCGGTCGATAATTTGCCTCTTAATCAGCACCATCACATCCTGGGTAGACAGACCTGGCCGGAAACCTACTATGTTGTATGGAAAGAGCTCTTTATCCTCAATATACCGAGATACTCTGTTGTGTACCGCATGCTCCATTATCTTCCCCACACAAGATGTGAGGGAAATGGAATGGAGGTTCTCTATGGCGAGTATCGACTTCCTCGGTTAACTTAGCGATTGACTTTCCGTGGAGATTGTGCAGCAACCCGTTTGTAACGCCGTCTGAACCAGGGGCCAAGCGGCTATTAAGCGCATGAAGCACCTCTTCGATCTCAAGGTTCGTAAAGGCCGAACCGATTTCATCGAGCGGCCTTCCCTCGTAGACGGGGTAATCCAGTCCCTGGAGGGGCCAAGGGGAAGGTATCGCTCTGCCAATTCCTTGAGTAGAGTGGTGTCAGCGACTCCACTGCTCCGCTGTGCTTGAACTAAGTGGTCGATTGCCAACCTCTGATTACTTTTGGACTTTGATCGAGTAGTACCTTCAACAGGTTCCATTTACCTCCGGTGCGCATCTGCTCCTCTACTTTTGAGCAAACCTCGTTCCACTGCTGCCTAGAAAGCTCCTGACAATATTCTTCAATATCTTTATTGAGGAGAGCTATGCATTTGCGGAGCCTCCTATTTAGCTTTTGTGTGCGCCATCTCTCAACCAGCGATTTTATAGCCTCCAATAAATGCGCAAGACGCGAGTCTACTGTATCCACCTGTAAGTCAGTTTGGACAGTCTTGGTGGCGAGGAGCTCATCCTCCGCGTGTCGAGAAAAGAGTTCCTCTAACGTAGCATATTCGGTCTCGTCCGCTTTCCGGCGCTTCCCGATTTCGTCCCAGTCCGTCACCCTGTACTCTTTAGGTGGAGCCGCCTGGGTTTCCTGCGAGGATGAAGTGATCACTTCCCAGGCTTTCCTGCAAGTTAACCCACTGAAATTTTCCCGCATTTCTGATGAATGCCAGATCCGGAGTGGTGTCTCTTGAAAACAATTGCCCAACCAGGTTGGGAACTCAGGGTCCGTGAACAGCTCCAAGGAACAGTCCGTCATAGCTTTAACAAGGTTTGTCCCTTTAACAGTGCCCTTTGGATAACCCCAGGCTGGGTGAGGTGCGTTAAAGTCACCGATAGCTATAAGCAGTGACTTGCCTGCAAGGGTAGCCGTCTTTGCGACCACCGCGGAGAACGCCTGCTTGTAATTTCAAGGGCTGCTGCAAACATTCAGTACGAATATGCTGCACTTAAGCCAATTATTCGGAATAATTTCAACCAGCTGAACCTCCAAAGTAGAGTTGCCGAGCGCAAGCGTGTGCTCTAAAAACGCACATATGTTCGAAACCAAGACAGCCAGGCCACGTTGACCCTCCCCCCTAAACAATATAGATCGATAGCTGGGCAAGGCAACCGCCGCGTCAATGGTTTCTTGTAAAGCAATCACATGCGGCTGAACCGCCAATGCAGCTATGTACTGCTGGAGGGAGGCCTTACCCTGCCTGAACCCCGCGCAGTTCCACTGCCAAATGACAAACTCAGTTGTGTTGGGAGCAATGGCTGCTGCTACTGGTTTGCAGACTTAACGGCACGTCCCTATCACCTGATCCATTGGCGTACCAGGGCGCGCAGAGGGAACAAGTGAAACAGGCGTCACCGGGACAAGAGTTGCCGCCTGGAGCGAGTCTGCTTTCGATCATAACAGCTTTACATGCTACGAGGTCAAAGCATTCCGCCTGCCGTGCTACCGCCTTTTGTAAATCTTTGATTGCTCCCAAAATGCACAAGTCTGAAAACGCCGCTACCTTTCCTTTCGTACCTAGCCACGGCTCTACTAACGAAGACTGCACCCGGGCCTGTGCTGTATTTTTGAGAGCTTCAAACTCGACCCTCATCTGCTGAAGCTGTGCTTTTAAACAAACATTCTCTTGAAGTAACAATGCAATCCAAGGGTCTTCTTTTTGCTCTGGCAGTGCCGCGTGCGTTACTTGTGCTGGTTGCTGCGCCGAGCTTGGCTTGGCACGATCCGCCCAGGTCTTGGGAGCTTCTTGGAAGCGTAGCCTAGAGTGGGAGCGCCCCTTGGAGTGGGAGCACCTCTTGGAGTGGGAGCACCTCTTGGAGTGGGAGCACCTCTTGGAGTGGGAGCGCCTCTTGGAGCGAGAGAACATCCTTGAGGTTCGTGCCATGCTGGAATACCGTGACGTCAAACTGTCTTGGTGCTGCCTGTGTTTCTTGGCAGCCTTTCTACGCCATCTTCGTAGCCTTACCAAGTAGGAGACTTGGAATCGATGCTGGCAGGACTTGTCGGCCGTTAGATGTGCCCCCCCCCCCCCCCCCGCACAAAGCACATGCCGGCTAGCATTGGTGATCGTTCGCGAGATCGTTGTCCGGCAGACGTCGACACAATGGCAGAGAGCTCCACATCCATAACCAATGTCAGATTGTCTTCTGTACAAAGTACACTGTAGCATGCTCATACCACACATAACATGGTTGGGTACCTTGATTCCACTGAAGAGAACGATGACGGTAGTCGTTTCCTTGACACGATGCACCTGCATGGCTTTAGGGTGGCGCTGGTTGACGATCATTGCCGCCAACTGTCGCTCATCGATGTCCACGTCGAGGCCTCGGATAACACTTTTGCAGGTATCGTCAGAAGCGGCTGTGTAAGCCCCCACGTTGCTGGACGTTGGCGTAGAGACGACAACGATATTCTGAGTTATGTTCGGGCAGACGATATCCTCCAGTGTTTCTTCCGGGGACAATATTGCTGCTTTCTCTAAAGCTTGGGCTAGACGAATCCGGCTAACCCTTTTGAGATCCAGGCCTCCTTTCGGTCGGACTGACTCGAATATGGCTCCTCGGCAATCGGGAAAGCCTCGATGCGGCTGCAAGACGGTGAACGACGCCATGCACGGTGGCCGTGCAATGGCCAGCCGTTCCTCCACTTTGAGAAGAAGCAGGCGCTTGTTGTCGGGGAGAACGCTTATTCTTGCCTAAAGAAGTCTGCCACCCAGGCGCGTTAGCGTCTTCTTGGGAAATAACTTCCCCGTCCACCACCATCACCTCCAGCATGATGCCGTTCCGTCGGCATGGGCGGATGCCCGGCTGAAGTCTTTAAAAAAGGCAAAAAATGGGCCTACCAGGTCAAAAATGGGCTCGGTAGAACCACTCGATGACATCTGTCGAAGGTTGTACAATTCCGGAGGATTGAAGCAATAATCTGACAGCACTCATTCACAGACGACGGAGACACTGCAACGTCTCTTGCCGACGCAAGAGCTCAGAAAAACGCGTACGTTTGCACTGGACGCTCGAAAAAGACTCCCAATGATAATGTATTTCCTCGCCTAAAACTTGCACCTGTATTTCCACACCCCCAACTACAAACAATGGGAAAAAAAAAGCAAAAGGAATCACCACATACCACTATCGACCTCCTTGGATTATTAATAGTAAAGCAGCCATGCAGACAACTTCCATGCCAAAAATACGATTTATTGTTGCAAATCCACTATTTACACGATGTCGCAGCGCATGCGCCCTTTTATTGAGGAAATATCGAGAAAAACATTTTAATCTCGGAGGCCTGGTTCTAGCAATGCCAGTTCTCCCGGCCCCTACCAAAACTTTAACAAAATGAAAGAAGGCAGCAATAAAAAATGAAAAAGACCAATTCTATATGGTAAACTAAATCACATTTTTTAGCAAGTCTGATACATGCAAGTTCGACTAGACCAAGAATACAGCCATGCAGCAACATGCATATATAACTGCTAAAGTCCTTATCACTTCCCAAAACACATTTTACAGCCATGGAGCGAGCTGTGCATACAGTACACTAGTATGTCCATCGATACCAGTAGCGTGGAGTTTTCTGCTTGCTTCAACACCTGCAACGGTCTTAACTTTTTATCAATCCCGATACTTATTCCTTAAATATTATGCTTCCACAAGCTTGACTGCAAAAAAATCTCTACTTCGATTCCTTTGGAAGATGTCAGCCAGCTGAAATACATTGTTATGTGCTATGTCTGCCACTCTAATGATCTTCCAATGGTACTGCCAGGCAAATACAGGCTCAGTTTGCGCATTCTAATTCTGCCAAGGCCTTTTCTTTTTTTGCTGTGTCTTGACAAAACGTAAACACGAAAACTGAGCCTACAACAACGCACATGCATGCTGACACGAACAGGAAGCGATTTGGGGCACACTTTTAATAGAACAACATGCCTAGACACCCCCGACATATCCCCCAAATGCTTCATCGGCATGAGGTCAGCACCGAAGAAGCATTTTAGAGACAAAGGTGCTCCAGGTATCACGCCAATGCAAGCATTATTTTATCAGCAGCAGCAGCAGTTTTTAACCGACATACTGATTTTTGTTTACTAATTGTTTGGTACTGTGTATGCCAATTCAGTGGAGTGAAAATGTGCCGTTTAAGAAAACTAACAATTATATATTAGACCATAAAACAACCAAAATTGATTGTTTCAATACTAGATGATGCAGACGATGGTCACAACATGAAGTACACGTTTCGACTTGGTATTAAAAAAAAAAAGCATAGAATTGCTCAGAATTTTTCCAGCTACCCTATTTTAAAAGAAAGCACATCTTTTGACATAATGGAATATATGTCAACACAAAACAGTAATTAATGCAAACTTTCGTGTGATGCAGTACACAGCCAAAATGCAATTGTAACTGCCTATGAAATAATTGTCACGCTCACCTGCCATCCTGAATGTTTTGGAAGATCTTCTTGGCAGTCTCAAGGAAAGCCTCCTCAACATGCTCACCGCTATTTTTGAGAGCAAGCAGGGAAGGAGCGAGAGTTGTGAATACATTCAAGAGCTTGTGAATGAGCAAGACTAGCTCGCTGGAGAGACATGATTCCAACACACACTTCTTTGTTTCCTGAAGCTCACTCAAATTTCATATTCTTGCTAGAATCAAGTATGAAGTTTATTCTGTAGATCCTCTGCACCTTAAATGCAATCTATATTTTCTAAATGCGTAAATAGGCTTGATATGATCAAACAGCATCACACAGTCAGAAACGATGGCAAAAAACAGGCGTGTATATCTCATACGAAGCAACAAAATTACCGATAAGAACTGATCACAATTAGAAATAGCACTGAATCCATAACCATTTTCATTAGAATCTTTGCACCCCTGAATTTTTTATTAATATGCAACACATATATATTCCCCTGTAACTATGGCACCTTGGCCTTACTTCCAGTGAGCACGGACAACACTGATGACACCACGTTTGCCATATTGCAAACATGCGTTGCCATTTTACATCATGGTGGCTGCCATTTCTCCCTACCTTTTTCCCTCGCCATATACCGTTTCACAGTGCAGGGGTATGGAAGTTATAAATCAGTGGTCAAAAGCCATTGAGCACATATTTTAGTACACTGAGTACATATCTCAGCCCCCCCCCCCCCCCCCCGAGTACATTCAGCACTCCCTGCAAGCATGCCCTTGGCACCATCCCACATAATTATTCACTAATATCTCATGCATTGTGCCTTAAAACAGGCTACAGATAGCAAGAACTCTATAAAACGGCACCTGCGCAAGATTTGTGCCACCATACAAAGTGCATGACCTACAAACACGCAGCTAGGCTTTGCCATCATTAAATTGCAGATGCAGTGTGATTTTCACGAGGTATTTTCATTTTTTTTTTTTACTGAAGTCCAACACAATAATAGACTCGTGCGATCCTAGTCATCATCAGCTCCTCACAGCTGTTATTTTATCATCAGGTAAGAGTTCTGCTTCACTTCCAGCATGCTATTCCAGTTTCAATCTCTAAACCAGACACCACTCCTTATAACTGCGATGCATTATGTTCTTCCCTTAATTTTCTAAAACGCAACCGTATGTGGGGAAAAAGAATGTTCAAAATTCATGTTGGAGCTTTCGAACGATAATAAGACAGCAGTAATTGGTAATTGGAAAGAAAAGATGGCTCCATTAACTTCGATGACTAAAGGGACACTAAAGAGAAATAATTATACGAGAAAAATTGTTTTGCTTATTCAGGATGGGCACAAATAATTTTGAAGCTGCATATACTAATTGGAGAGTATGAAACAAGTGGCTTCTGTTTTTTTAATAATATTGCAATCGTGAGGCTATCTGTAAAGCAATTCATGCAATGCCCAATGAACAAGTGCATTTTAACACAGGCAGGCCTTTGAAACCTGATTGTTTGGTTACGGTAATAGTAACAATTGTTAGAGGTCAGACATGTATTGAGTTTCAATGCAGATCAATTCTCTCAAATAGTTTGCCTTATACAATCATTGCACTCGCGCAGCTTCGTTAAAAACCTTCAAAGAATAAAAGTGCAAACTTCAGGCAAGTAAATAGTGCACAGCTAGTTATGAGTTTAACTCAGTAGTACAAAATACGCAAGTGGGTTACGATCCGTGCAGAGAAAAATTCGACAAAACTAAAGCACGACTACTTTACGTAATCAGAGAGGCCAGTGTACTGCAAAAACGAACCACAGGAAGTAATAATTTGACATGTCTTGTCAAAACATAGGAACTTCCACATGCTACCCGCAACACCCTGAACAATAGCAGACACCCATAAACCTATTGAATAACAATATACATAGACCTCTTACGAGCAACTGCCTAAAAGCTTTTTATGTGAATAAGAAAACAGTAGCACACTTACGTCTTTGCACTAGCTTCCACAAACATTAGACCTGCAATATGAAAAAGCAATGAAGGAGGGTTTGGAGAAGCACAAGAATGAGCAACTATGCGTTTTAAAGCAATAAACTAGGAGACAAAGCTCAATTTTCTTAAAAGACCACTTAACAGGCTCAGACTTTTTTCGATTCTTTTTCGATTGATTGATTGATTGATATGTGGGGCTTCACATCCTAAAACCATCATACGATTATGGGAGACACCGTAGTAGAGGGCTCCGGAAATTTCGGCTACCTGGGGTTCTTTCCCGTACACGCAAATCTGAGCACTCTGGCCTACAGCATTTTTGCCTCCATAAAAAATGCAGCTGCTACAGCTGGGATTAGATCCCGCGACCTGCGGGTCAGCAGCAGAGTACCTTAGCTTCTAGATCCCCGTGGCAAGGCGATTACGTTTTTCGAATATTACAGCTATGCACGCCACACAGAGCCTTCATTTCGAAAAAAATTTTCCATGCTTCTTTCCTATGCATACCTACCAAGTTCAAGGATTCTGAATCTGGGAGACTTTCGCAATGGGAGGAGGGGGGATGCACGATAAATTATTTGCCCATTTTTAAATAAACTACACCTCTGTTTTTTAAATACACTACAAACAAACAAAAAAAGATTGCAAAAAACAAGAGGGGGTCTCAATAGCAAGTGTCAAAATCAGCGTTGCAGTCCGATACAGTCGAACCACGCTACAACGAAACTGATGGGGCGCGGAAAAAATTTCGTTGAAGCGAAAATTTCATAGTAAAAATCGAAAAAAATATCGCTGATCTGAGCTAGCAAAAACAAATTTATTTGCAATAAAATAGGGAAGGTTCGAAAACACTGAAGCAGATTGAGCTGCTTTTTTATAAATGCGGCCAGATCACACACAGAAATTTCAATTTCCTGAATATTTTCATGAGAACCGTACAAACGAAACGGTCGAAATCCGGGAGTCTCCCGACTGATTTGGGAGACTTTGCAGGTATGCTACGCCTGACTAATCATCCTTTCACAAGGTTGGCGTTAAGCGACTTGACATAGCACGCAGCTTGTCGATTGGTCTAAACCAGTCATGACGACGAGCCACGCCTTCCCCTCCATACGAGGGAGAAAAGTGGCAAGGCCGCGTGAAAACTTGAAACCAGCTGAAACCATGTTCTAACCCCTGTAACTTCTTTAATATAGCACGTCTTTGCAAACCTCCTGCGGCAACATGTTCACATATTTCTCTTTAAAACAATTTTTAGACATTAGGGTTGTTAACTGGCCCTAGAACACACATGTCGATCTTCTGAACTTGTGAAGCGATCAGACTGTTTTCATGGCAAAATAACGAACACGCTGACAACAAAATAGCGCGAACTTCAAGGCTGCCATGTTTTATGAACATGTTAAAACAATCAAGGTGAAATGCTGTCCACTCTCAAAAGCTTTTACGATTGCATGCTTCCCGCTTCTACTTAGTAAAGTTAAAAATTAATTATTTAGCCATTAGTTAATTAATGCACAGGCACTGAACAGCTGTTAAGTACATATCTGATAACTACGCTACAGAGTTGCAGATGAAACCAGTTGGCATCATAAATACATCATTAAATACTTTTTCAGCAAAAAAATATATATAGCACAGAAGTGCATACAGAGAAGTACAGCGATAATCTATGTAGCGTATAATTTCAAATAAATAGGTCCTGCAACAGATTTTGGGCACAGGCAGAAAACTCTGCTGACTGGTACTCGAGGCTACCGAGATGACGCGAGCCAAACATAGAATGGCACATAGGCTATAATTTACAGCCAACTCTCAAAGCCAGGAAAAAACCATTCCTCTCTACAAATGACTCCATACACTCAAATTTGTGCACCATATACCCGTGTCTAAGGTGGTTGGCTGATTTGAACATCGTAGGCTGCGTAGTTTCTGCCATTGAAGGATGCGGCCTCACGCCCGTGCTCATTCACAATCACACTGAAAGTAAGCCGCGCGTTTGGAGAAAAACAAGGAAAGAAAGCGCTCAATGTCACAATGTACACTGACAAATGAACGCATCTTCGTGCCCCCTCATCACCTCTCTTCATGCATAGCTTTCAGTGAGCTTGCTGGCGCAAAAGGACAAAGAGCTTTAAGCACGACTTCAGGAATTAAAGAAAAATTTTTGCAGCATGTGATTTGTGAAGGCTCATGCACTAAAAGTGAGGCAATTTGATTAGAACTCAGAAAAGTGTTGCAGAGCCCCTTTAAATGAAAAAGGCTTGTAAGAAACGAAATTATTTCATATTTTTACACCCCTTGAAAGTGTGACACAAAATAGTTCTGCTAGTTAACACTGCCATTTATAACTTCCACAACAGACTATCTGACCAAAAGAAGTAATAAAAAAAACAGACAGCAGTAAATAAGAATTATCTGTTCAATGAATTTTCACAACACTACTAGTAAGCCAGAGTGGAAGAAGGCAGGAGCAAGACATGCAAAACTCCCTCCAGCTCCCTCAGACACCTGCTAAGCCATTCTTTGTGAAGTCAGACGTAACAGTATAGCAGATGACGAAGTGCGCTGAAGATGCATTAAAATGTTAAATGCCCTGCCCCCACCTTCTACATTATGAGGACTTGACAAAGCTACTTCGAGAGAAACGAAATAAAAAATGGCCATAGAAAAGCTACCATCTGGATGAAATCATTAACAGAGCCACGTGGCTCACCTGCTTTTACTCTCTACATCTTATGGTTAGCGAAATAAAATATTACAAAGCAAATAGAGAACTAACTTTCTTAACGTAGGTTGCTGAGAAATTTATTTGAAATTGTGAAATTCACTCATGTTTAGAAATGCCAGCTCTGTTATGCTTTGGTTCCTGCGAAACATCAAAATAATCTACTGTGCATCCCAGCCAAAAACACCTGACAGTGAAAAAGTTGACATCCTTGTAAAGAAACGCAGCTTCCCGACAAATCGGCGTAGTCTATAAATCCCCAAACAAAAATAAAACAGCATAGAAAAGGAGGTATGATGGACTGTACATGATAGATAACCTCTATACAACGGATTTCTCCAAATTAAGAAGTTCTTCTATGTGCTTTTACCCTGCCTTCAAACAAGCCAACAAAAAGTGAATTACTGTTACAATGGCAATGCCACTACTGGTCATTTGCTGCAGAAGTCTGAACTGCACTTCACAAAGCGACACCATTAGAAAATGAAATTATTCTGTGTCGTTATGCTTCGACTTTACGCCGCATAAGGAGATCGCTTTTCCAAATAGTATGTCATGGCAACGCGTCATTCCTTCCGTTTTTAACACCATGTGCACCCCCACCCCCACCACCCTTATGGTCACACCCACCTCCCCCCCCCCTTATGGTTGTTACGAAGAGTGCGGTGATGAAGACAAATCTTAAGAGGTTGACACGTCCCCTGCGCTGCCGTCTTGCGCCCAACCGCGGTATACTACTACTCCACGGTGGGGGGTGGACCGTGGACTTCCCGATTAGCTCCGAACTGCCGTGGCAATTCGACAGCAGAGAGTGGCTTCAGCAATGTACTGTCCCTTTGCCAGAAACACTCTACGAGGCCATGGCCAGACGGTGACAGAGCAGCATTGTATTGATGCGAGATTACTTAAGGGGAGATGCGAGTAGAAAAACCTAAAAAATACACTGTTTTTTACCTGTTTTGATAAAGTTAGTACTTCTACTATTCGGTAAAAAAAAAAATCAATGTTGGCAATGCTTTCAAATTGTGTTTAAAGAGCATAAGGTAGCTGTTAAAAGGCCGAAAGTGTGCAGTCTTCGAGCACCTTGCCCCTGATAATGTGCCGCCACACGCCATTGTCGATCACATGAGGCAGAGAGCCGAGCCTCACTGTTCAAATAAGAACGGTTTCCCGCACTGCTGCTGTACAAAAAAGTGCCGCCATATCCACGAAGTGAATGATGATGAGTGGGCGAAGCTCTGGAGGAAAACCTGGTAAACCATGAATCTTCCGTACATTTTGCCTACTCGATTTTATTACAATGCTCCCCCTAGCGTACGTCGCCGCACTAAATCGAACGATTGCCTTCCACCAATGACACGTGCCATATGTGACATCATTCCTATTTTATAACATCTCGCATCTTTCATCAACTACAAGTACCGCCGTCTAGTTTATAACATCTTGCATCTTTTCATCATCAGCTACAAGTCCCGCCATCTAGTGAGCACTGAAAGAACGAAACGAGAGGTGGCTACATGCAGGAGACGGAGCCGCCATCTAGTGAACACTGCAAGAACTAAACGAGAAGAGGCGACATACAGGAGACGGTACCGCCATCTAGTGGACACTGCAAGAACTAAACGAGAGGTGGCTACATACAGGCTACAGGGGACGCACAGCCCACGCCCTAAGGAGCTTCGCCCCTAAAATATTAAACAGAAGCCAGCTTTTGCCGCATTTTTCAAGCACCGCGACTGGGTTTGAAATCACGTGGTACGGATTTGGGACCGCCATTGGCCGCTGCACACCTGTTTGCGCTGTGAAACGTACTTGCAGGGTCTGTGCCTTGTCGAGCAGCACAGCTGAAAAATGCTTTTTTAGTGTGTTTATCTCCATTATAGATGAACAAAACCGTAGCTCGTGCGATAGCTACACTGCCCACGTGAAAGCTGTTGTGGCGGTGCGCTCTGTAAGAGTGGGCTATGAGCAGCTGGTCCAATTTACGGCAATTCTTGGTTTGCAAAAGCCAATGCATCAAACTCATTCACAGCCATCAGCTAGAAAGTCTGTGATGCGGCAATAGATAGCATCTGTGCCAATTATGCGAGGTCGAGGAAGTTCACAGGTAGTGAAGTTAGCGGGGACGACACTTCCGCTATGTACGACGGTACATAACGCAAACGCTGCCACAAGAGTTACAACAGCATTCGCACTGTTGTGTTTCTCGACAGAGGACTTTGCTTGAATTTCAAAGTCCTGTTGAACTTCCCCTAGCTTGCAGTCGGCACAAGGCTCTGCCAGACGGAGCGGAAGAAGTTTGGCGAGCATTTCGTGGCCCTGTTTGTGAGTAGTCAGCTCGAAAGAGCCGTGAAGGACTAACTTATGGAGCTGGCACATTTTAGTGGCAGTGGCCGTAACAAGGAGTATTGTTTTTTTTGATGTGCAAACTTCATTGCATTTAATCATATCTTTCATAAATAAAAATTCAATTATAACATTACAGCTCGTTCTCCCCCCTTTCCCCCCCCCCCCCAAAAAAAACACGTTTGCAATTTTTTTCAATGTGCTCCTCCTTTTTCGGGTACTTCTGGTGCTTGGTTTTGCATGAAATTTTGCCCGAAATTTTTTCCATACTATAGTATTTGCTCCCGTAATGCACACACTTATTTTCTTGAAAAGGGTGCATTTATTAGGCAGGGTAAATTTTATGAAAACTTTTTCGAGGGGAGCAAAAAATGCGGTAATGCGAAAAAAAAAAAGTTAGGTCGCTTGGCCTTTAGCAATTCAGATATGCGTGCACTGTTTGGAAACAGGTTCTTTGTTGCCCTTTACTGATCTTCAGTGGTTAATGACACTATCTTCTGCAAGCTGTCTCCGGGAGCGTGCGCACGCCATAGAAACATTTTGCGGCTGGCCATCTTTTCTCGCAATCGTTTAATCGCAACAGTGTTATCTGCTGTGATCTGGAGGGGCGCCCAAAAGCTTCCGCTATGACTCACTTTGTCAACTTCACGGCAACCTCGCACGACGGTGACGACACCGTTAATGTTGTAGCAAGTACATTGATTTCATGGTAACAAGTAACCAACATTGCAGCAAGCTACCCCCGAAGCATCAACACAAACCATCAATAACAAGATTAACGACAAAATACGGACGCTGCCGCACTTCTACAAGAGAAGTGCCTCTACGTGTGGATAACAAGCGAAGCAAGAATTGGGTGTGCTACAATGTTGCGGAAATTGTCACGATCTTCTATGAATGAATAGAGATTTTTTCCGGCTTGCCGAAAACCTGCGACGTGATAGCGACGAATGACCCTTCAGGACAGCAAATGCTGCCGTGGTTGCTTAAAAATCACGTGCATGTATTTGGGCTTTTTTTGGCGGAGAGGGGGAGAGTTAAGTTCCGATGTGGATGTTGTAGGTATCGACAGCCTCTTAGTGATCCAAGAGCACGCGAGATTGAAGGCAGCGTTTATTGAACGACCGCCCGCTCGGGCCGTGCCCAACAAACTTTTTTCGTCCCCCAACCGCGCATTCCCGCGCAGCTGAAAAACAATCATAAACGAAAAAAAGTTCCTGCGCTCCCCCTCCTCCTTGCTCTCAGCAAAGAGAAAAGGAATTCTCGGGACGCTCTCTTTCGAGCGCACCACCCGCGTTGGCCATTATCGCCGACGGACCGTAACATGATCTCGCAGCTTCAGCTCCTCGGTCGCTTCAGCCACATGGCCCGAACTGCGGCGCTCGCCTGGCCGTCTCGAAATCGGCTGCGGTGGTTCGTGTCGTATCCCCGACACAAACTCCAACGCAATAATTCAGGGAAACAATCACCGCCTTCAAGCCCCCTCTATACCGACGACCTCCTGTGGCGTCAGCTCCTCGGATCCGCGTCCGCGGCGACCTTACAGGTCGAAAACGTATTCTCAGAAGCTCATACGCTTCGAGACTGACTGGGGGGGGGGGGGGGGGGTTTCCTCAGAAAAATGTGGAAAGGTAAGTAAGAAAAAGGGGTGTGGACTGCACAATAACTGTCTCATGTGAGGACACCTCTACCGATACAGTCATGGTTTCCCTTCACTAGGGAATCGAGAATGAAGGGACAGTTAGAGTGAAGACAAAAGAAAGTAGGCTAAAGAAAAGGGGGGGGGGGGGGAGAGCGTCGAAGGAAGCAACTGATGTCGATTGGCACCGGCAGTTTGGTGACCTTCACTCACTGTGTGCGTATCAGCTGCGACTGACATGGGACATGCAGCGCACAGGTAGGAAGAAAAGCAATAGGCATGCAGCAACCGACAAAGGATGAAGGGGGAGCGTGCCGAGGTGGTTTAGGGGGGTTGGCAAAGTAATAAAAAACTGAAGAGATCGAACGGGTGAGAAGGTGCCAGGTGTCGGTTAGCGGGACTGCAGCGGATCAATGTAGGAGTGCATTTATTACACAGGGGGAAAAATCCATATTTCGAAAGGTGAAGTAGGGGGTGCATTTATTATGTGAGCGTGTTTATTACGTGAGTAAATACGGTACACAAAAATGCAATTATCCAGTTTAAATTTTAATATTTTTGTTATAAAATAAAAACTTTATGTAAACATTTACTATGGCAGAAGAAATATATACTTTTTCACGTCTCTTATTTTTCACGTTTATTACATAATTTGTGTGCACTTCCTAATTAGTTACTTTCATTTCACACATTGGAATACTATGAACTATGAATAGTAAAGAATTATGGGAGTTTAGCTATGAAAAGAAGGGAGGAGGGGAAAAAGGCTTAAGGTTTTCACTGTCATGTTTCAGAGCTAACAGTACGCAACTTGCAAGAAAACTAATATATTTGAAATCGGCATAAAATGCTTCATAAACAGCAGCTGAAGTTTGATCTCTCTAGGGTGAATATTAAAGAAAAGTGCCTTCGAGTAGCATCTCCCCTTAATTAACTGAATTTCAATGCCACATCTCTTTTTAAATAAGGTACAGCAGGCTTTTATTAAATGAAACCTGTCTTCGAGTACCATCACGTCTTCGAGTACTATCTCCCCTTCAAGGGGCCCTGCAACACTTTTTGAGCATGGTCAGAAAATGCTGCCAATCGGTAGTAGAGGCTCCCGACAACACCCGAACAAAATATTATAGCACAGCACACAGCCTGGAATTCACAATAAATTATCAAAGCCAGCAAAAAATTGCTTTCGCTTCTCTCAACAAATTACGGAATATGCCCAAATATCACGCGTAGCAAGCCTATCTATCAGCGATTGGCTGATTTGAACACGGCGCGCTTGGTCGTTACAGAGATCGCCGCGGGAGGCCAATACTTGCCCACGCGTGCCTCACTGCAAAAGCAGTGCATTCGAAAAAAAAAGAAAAGAGCACAAGGTCACGAGGCACGCGTGACGTTTCTCTACGACTCTGGCATCTCTCCCTGCTTAGCTTCCAACGCTTTTGTCGGAATGAGAGAAGAAAGAATTCACTTGCAGCGTGTGACAAACCTTTGTAACTCCAGTCGCACTGGACGGATTGTTAAATTTTTGCGGGTTGAATTAGTGAGGCAATAAGCTCTTCTGCGGTTACTTGAAAAAGTGTTTCAGGGTCCCTTTAAGTGAACATGGTGAGCTAAATTTTTTGTTTCACACCCTCCAAGGGTGCACACCACCAGCCTTGGAAGTATACTAGCAGCTGAACTCTTCAAACACGCATGCTCAGACACCTACCTGTATGAGTTCTCCGGCATGAAGGTGTGCTATGGACAGACTGGCAGAATGCCAACAACAAAGACACACACACCAATTCTCATTTGGTAAAGTACATGTTCCTCAGGCTTTTCTTATGCTTTCCCATTATGTAATTTCATTTGTGGTAAAAAAAATACTAAAGAAAAAACCTCTAACGTGCTTCTTTTTTCTGCTTACCATTTTCTTCAGCAAACTGCTTTGCCTCATCGTAAGTGACATCTCTCTGAGCTTCAAGATCACATTTGTTGCCAATCAGAAAGATGACCTGCACAAAAAGGAAATGATGTAACCAATGGCAGAAAAGAATCTGAAATCAATTACCCTTTCACGGTTCGAACCAAAGTATAAGGTTTAAAAAATGACTGCATATCTCATTCAGCCAAAATGTTTTAGGCAGTACAAACCTCGTTAAACCGTAGTTGGCCGGAGCTCGGAAAAAGTACGTACTAAACAGTAGTACTGCTTACCCGAAATAGCGTCAGGTTGCTCACTTACCTGTCAAAAAAAACCTTCAGGGAGTGCGATGAAAGAACAAAAAACGTGCAGTAATTTATTAACTTCGCGTGACAAGGTCTGTAATCTTCATTTGACGACGTGGCGGCCTAGCAGCAACGATAGCGGCCTCAAACTCACTTATGCTGTGAGCCAGCTTTTTTTGCCAGCCCCCTCTTCTCGGCAAATACCTGCATGACGCTGACGCAATGCGCAGCTTCGGCCACTGTCCGACCTGGATCACCCGTGTTGTCGCTTTCCATGTCGTCCTCATCACTATCATTTGGCGACACTTCGACAAACGAGGCAACAATGGCTTCGTCGGCATGTCCGGAGATGTCTGCACATCGCTGTCTGCGTCTCTGAAGTCGGGGAAGGAAATGCCTTCCGTAACGCCCTGCTGCTCCAGCACTTCAGCTAGCAGAGTATTGCAAGCTTCGTCTACGATGTCTGAAGTCTGGTTGATGGTGTCACTGGTGTCATCTGCGTCGCCCGCACACACACTGAAGCCAGCACTCTTGAAGCAATTTTGAACTGTCGTTGCTTCAACCTGCCGCCACGTGTATTCGAGCAGGTGAATCGCGCCAATCGGGTCGATGGAGAATAATTTGCCACATTCAATGGTTGCAGCAGCACCGCCGAGCAACTTCTCTCTGGAATTCCAAATTCCACACACCGTGATTAACGGCAGGTCCTTTTCGCGTGCCAGCACCGATTTTTTCGTGCCACTTTCAATAGCATGATTTATATCTAATTTCTCCTCTATTTTCAGCACTCGATGCTTTTGTTCCAGCTTCGGCATGACGCAAGTACGAAGCAGCATAAACACACATACACAACACGTGAAAAACGACGCGAGGGCTGTACGGCACGGATCAACCAGATAACACCTATGCACAGCGCCAAAGGAACAAAGAAAGCAAAGCAAGCGCACGCAGTGTTTGCGTGTTTGTGCAAAGCACCATCGCGTGGACAACACCAGAAGCCTAGCCGGCCGAGTGCTTCTTGTTGCAGAAAAATCCAAGAGTTGGCGCTCACCAACACAGCCGCCATCATCATCAACACAAACAAGTGAGGCGTGTTTCTATCTCTGGGGCTTGCTGTTCTGTCGGGACGCCCAGTGGGGGACGACGACATGCAGCGGCGAAAGCGCAACGAAAATTGGAAAAACTACTTATTAAAAGATACATACGCGATAAGCCGGTACGGCTTATGCAGATACAAAATGCATTATGTTCAGTGGCTGCCGAGTCGGGGATTTGACTTCACTATTTTTAAAACGAAACTACTGTTTACGCGGGTACGGTTCAACGAGGTTTCACTGTATTATACTTTGCACTTTTTACGAGCCAGAACTACAACCCGTGGAGATATGCCTACCATATTTACTCGCATAATCCTCACACTTTTTTTGGCGGAAAACCAATGCAAAGTTGGGGGGTGCGAGAATTACGCGGGGAAAACTTTTCACGAAAACGTACAGAGCAAAGAAGAAAACGAAGTGGCCGTAAATCGGGATTCTTACACCAGCAACTAACAGCAAGCTTTGAAAAGCACTAATTAAAACTTACCTCAACAATAAAAGCACAGGTTCAACACAATGCAAGATTTATTAGAGACACAAAAAGTGCAAGCAAATAGCCGAGAATTAGAATACCATACGCAAAGCTTGTGGGTGTTGCGGGCATAGCGGTAGCGTTTGTCGCTCAACAGGAGCCCTCAAAAGATAAGCGTAGGCTGTCAGTATTGGGCTGATGGCTATTTAACAGAATCGTCCGCAGTTTCCTCCAGAAGAAATAAAGTTTACCATCAATCTCGGTTTAAGCACACGGCAGGCCCAACGAGTCTTGGTGGCTTTCAGCTGCCATCACCAGTAGCGAACACAAAACTCGGACTCCGAAGGGCTGACCGGCGGCCCTGTTGCCATTGTTTAGTGCATGATCTATCACTTCCAACTTGAAGGCAGCCGTGTAGCTTCAGTATTGCCCCATAACCTGACAAGATTACCGACACAACATACAAAACATGCCGCAATGTGCACTTGCCACTTTGGCTCAGGTTGAATTGAATTGAGTCTCTGTACATTAATAGTACGCTTGATGCTTAAGAGACGGCGTGCATTATCATCATCAGTGGCTGGAACGAGCAGACGACATTATTGCAGCAGTTTTCGGGGTGCGATATTTAGTCGAGGAAAAAAACAAATTGTATTTGTATGTAAATTGTATGTAAATGTAAATTGTATGTGGGGGGTGCGAAAATCATGCAGTTGCGAGGATTACGCGAGTAAATACGGTAAGTAGGAAATCTGGATAAATTTTGGCCACAAGCACTTTTTAAATCCCATAATGCAGGAAAGTGCTCTTTATTGTCCTCTTCCTAATGCAACTGTCATGAGGGTAGACAAGCAAGATGTGTCTCCACATGGCCGATGCCCACACACTTAACTGTGCCATCATTGCATTAACTTTATTTCTTGCTAATGCAGATTAGTAACACAGCTTAAGATGATGCTGAAACACTTTCTTATTTCTTCCACTGCATGGTTAGCCCTTTTAAAAAGTCTCCGGATAATAGTTTCATTTACCTTACTTTGCCCTCAATCGTACAAAGCTTCACAGAGGGAGGTGGCATAGATAAAATAAACAAAAGTGAACAAAAAGAACACAGAGTTATTATAGTACACATGATGATACAATATTTCTCGCTCATAACCTTAGCTTTCAGTCACTTAAGATCAGCCTATACAGTCGAACCCGTTTATAACCAACACGATAGTGCCACCTTACGTGGTTGTTATATCAGTAGTTGCTGTACAGTAGACTGACTTAAACGGAACCTGAAGGGACCGGGAAAATGTGTTACATTTAACCGGAGTTCTGTTTACTGAAAGGTGAAGTGGGTTGCAGCATTCAAGTATGAAACCAATCATATCAGACGAAGTCATTTCATTTAGGCAGCAGTTCCGTTTAATATTTTCGTTTACCGAGTACTGTACATGGACTCGCCCATAAAAAAGTCTACTGAGCAGCCAAATCTTTCTTTCATTATTATTATGAAGTGCTAACAACCCTTTTACTGACAAGTTGCTGACTCACGCCATTCCACTGAAGCACGGTACCACCACGTGGAACCAATCATCCACGCCTACAGCAAGTCGCTTACTTTGCTCTTGCCATCGCATGCTGGGCCATGTGCAGTGTGATGTGCGTGTTTGTGCATTTTTCGTTTATGCTACACTCTGGATCGAGCTCAGGTATGGCGAGTAGCCTGCTTTCTTTTTTTAACACGACGAAGACATGAAACGCGCAAGCAACCTCGCAGAACATGGATGCTGCGAACTTGAGAACAGCAGCATGACACACTTGTACCACTGTCACTCCGGGCAGTACCCACACTCGCAGCCAAGCAGATATCTGCAGATGACCGCGATAAGGTTGTCGGCGATTAGGCAAAATGGCACGTTCATCGCCACCTGACACGTCGCCTGAATTCACTCTTTTTCTGATGCTTATCCACCGTCACAACCGCGCAAAAGTTGTTATTGTCAATCGATTAGTGCCTGTTATTTTTTTTCTAAAGTGGGAAGATGTTTGGCGGCACTTTGTGGTGTTGACGAGTTATGCGTCGCAGTGAACTTTTGTGCGACAAAAAGTTATCACTTCTTGCATTTATGGCTTTTTGCGTTCGAAAGTCTTGTGGGGTTAATCGTTGGTGACCGTAGATGCCTAGAACAGCATCAGAAAACTTTGCAGTTCGAAAGCTGACTGTACATGCTACCTCCTAATCCCCCCACATCACTTTCCTTCTGCCGGTGAATAAATGCTTGGAAAGTGAGTGACCTCGCTCGCAGCGTCCAAAATCTGCCGGCAGTGCTCGCACTAGAGTGTACTAGAACAAGGGAGTGCCCGAAACGATGGTAGCACCAATGTACAGAAAGTGAAGCCCTAGCAGGGTGCATATGCTCAGGGTGCTGCGGTCAGTAATCAGCTAATGTGGTTCACAGGTAGAATGCTCACTTCCCACTTAAAAAAACTCAGGTTAAAATTGTAGCTGTACACGGATTTTTTAAATTCTTAGTTTCACTTGTACAGTTGTATTGGTTCATCTTTTTTTTTTTTTAAATCTAGCTTCAGTCGCTACATAATGTTACAAGAAGTAACTCAAAATATGCAGTAAAAAAGAAATTTGACAGCGAGCGTACTGGGGAGCCGCCAGTCAAGTACTCTCCCCAGTGCGCTCCCTGTCAAATTATTTGACTTCATATTTCTTATGAATTTTCGTAATTGTAGCAAATCAATCTAAATTTTTAAATAAAGCAAATCAATACAACTGTATAAGTGAAACTAAGAATAAAAAATGGTCCGCAGCTGCGATTCGAACCTGGTTCTATTGAGAGGGAAGTGGGCATTCTAGCTCTCAGCAACTTGGGCAGAGCCGCGTGCAGCTGTTATGACGACACATTGCAGACTACTGACTGCAGCGCTGTGAGCAAATGTACCCTGCTTGGGCTTCACTTTTTGAAGCTCGGTCCGGGCACTCCCTTGTTTTAGTACACTCTGTCGCTGCGGTCTACAATACCTTCTAGGCAAGATGCAAGCGACCTACAACAACTGTCCTAATAAAGTTGTATGCATTCATATTCTAAGCCATCTATAACTTGAATGGGCTGTCAGGATGACTCACCAACACAAAAGACAGATTGATAGATTGATATGTGCGGGTTAACGTTCCAAAACGGCCATATGATTATGCGAGACGCCGTAGTGGAGAGCTTTAGAAATTATGACCACCTGGAGTTCTTTTTAACGTGCACCCACATCTGAGCACACGGGCCTACAGCATTTTCGCCTCCAGTGAAAATGCAGCCGCCTCAGTTGGGATTTGATCCCGCGACCTGTGGGTCAACAGCCGAGTACTTTAGCCACTAGACCACCGCGGCGAGGCCCAACACACACACACACACACACACACACACAAAATATACAGAACAGGTTTTGTTCTTGACAATAATGGCAACAAGATAACAGACGAGTATTTATTTATTTGAATCTAGGCCAATTTCTTTGTGTGTTTCCAGGGTCGGCTTAGATTCGTGGATTTTGAAAAATGCACCATTTTTCATCGAGTAAAGTGGTGCAGAATTAGCACCACCTAGACCGTATTATAGCCACTAGTAGCCAATCCAACACCTGGCTTAAATACACACGTGAGGCCGCCATTTTTTTATTTGTGGAAAGAATTGAGGCGAGCTGTTCTTCAGTTTGAGTCTCGCCTCGAGTGGGCTTGTGTGGCATAGCTCAATGACGCCAAACAGGCGGTGTCACCACCTAGATCGTATTATAGCCACTAGTAGCCAATCCAACACCTGGCTTGAGTACACACGTGAGGCCGCCATTTTTTTATTTGTGGAAAGAATTGAGGCGAGCTGTTCTTCAGTTTGAGTCTCGCCTCGAATGGGCTTGTGTGGCATAGCTCAATGACTCCAAACAGGCGGTGTCACCACCTAGACCGTATTATAGGCACTAGTAGCCAATCCAACACCTGGCTTAAGTACACACGTGAGGCCGCCATTTTTTTATTTGTGGAAAGAATTGAGGCGAGCTGTTCTTCAGTTTGAGTCTCGCCTCGAATGGGCTTGTGTGGCATAGCTCAATGACTCCAAACAGGCGGTGTCACCACCTAGACAGTATTATAGCCACTAGTAGCCAATCCAACACCTGGCTTAAGTACACACGTGAGGCCGCCATTTTTTTATTTGTGGAAAGAATTGAGGCGAGCTGTTCTTCAGTTCGAGTCTCGCCTTGAGTGGGCTTCTAAGGCATAGCTCAATGGCGCCAAACAGGCGGTGTCATAGTGTCGCGTAAAGAACCAAAGTTGTCCAGGATGCAGAGTCGTCCTTCCCAGTTCAAGCCTGGTGGGACTTAGGAGTGGACGAAAAGAATCTTATCGCTGGAGGTCCACGGAAAGGCCATCAACTTGAAATGCAGATGGCACTGGCCAACTTCATTCAGACACAGTGAGCAGCTGCCCTCTCAGTGACAACAGAAGTGCTCCAAGCGAAGGCGAGGAGGCCTTCAAGGGAGCAAGGTGTTTCGACAGCAGACTTCAAAGCCAGCTGAGGCTGGCTGCAGAAATTCATGAAGCACTTCGGCTTCAGTCTCAGTCGTTGCACCTCAATCACCCAAAAGTTACTGGCCGACTATCAAAAGAAGTTACTGGAATTCTAGCGTTTCATGCTTCGGAAGAGAGAAGCGAGAGCATATCTACTAAGCCAAATCGGCAACGCGGACCAAACGCCTGTGTATTTCGATATGCCGGTGGCGTACACAGTCTCTGAAAAAGGAGCCAAAGAAGTGAAGGTGCACTCTCGCTACTGTGAGGCTGTGCTGCACAGCGGACAGGCACAAACTCTCTACTTCTATAGTGTTTAAGAGAAAGACGCTGCCTGCCATATAGTTTTTAAGAGGAAGACGCTACCCGCCAAAGAGGCTTTCCCACGAAATGTGATTGTGTGGGTCAACAAGACCAGGTGAATGACAAGCGCCATGGTTGCGGAGTGACTGAATATCACATGGCGACAGCGTCCAGGCGCCCTTCTGTGCAAGCACTCTCTGCTGGACTCTTACTGTGGGCACTTGACCGACAGCGCCAAGGCTGCGCTGGCTGAAATGAACACCAACCTTGCCAAGATACTGAGTGCGGGTTGGATTGACGGGCCAGTTGCAGCCACTTGATGCATGCATTAAAAAGCTGATCAAGGATCACCTGCGGGGATTATACATGGACTTATGAAGAAAAGAGGACCACTATGATGCCGACGGTCGCATGAAGCGGGCATCACTGTCTCAATTGGCCGGCTGGGTGGCTGCAGCGTGGTACGACATCCCAGGAACTTTGATAGTGTGCTCATTCAATATATCAAATGCACTTGAAATGCACAGAGGATTGCTCACTGTTTGAAGAAAGCGACGAACATCAGCGACGACGACTCACAATGAGCACAGCATCTTTATAAACCAACTGCTCTGTTTTATCTTTATATTCAATAAATTTTTTTTTTGGAATGCTGTCTTTGCTGTTTTGTTCAGCCAACATTCGAGGTAAGCTTTTTTTTTTTTCTCTAGGCTTCGAACATTCGAGTAAATAAAGTACTACTCAAAGTTCAGCAGACACTAAGAACGAGCAACTAGTGCTTGAGCTAATGCAGAGTTAACCTAGCCTCTGAACTTCTGGTTCTTAAAACCTTGTATGCCCGACTGCAAAAGGTTCCTCCCTTTCATAAATGTGATGCAATTGCTGCCAGTGACTCTGCAGTCTATTTTACAAATTTCGAGCGGTGTTTGCATATTTAAAGCCTTGTACAACAAAGCATCTGCACTGACCTTAAAATAAATGGCCACAATTGAAAATGTGCAAACACTTTTTAGTACGTACAATGGCTCTGGAATCATTAAAAAAATTAAAAAATGATCAGGTGCTAACTTCCCCCTTCCCAATCGTTACAGAAATGCTGACCTCCATACTAAGGTCAGTAAAACACCAAGCTCCATCAAGTAGTAAGATATTGGCGGCTGATGTATGGATAGCAACGTGAAAGTAGTGCCATGGCACAACCATGGACTCACTGTGTTGGGGTTGGTGAGGTTCCTTGCATCGGTTAGCCAGCTGCTCAGATGGTTGTACGTACTACGCCTGCAGGCAAGAAACCAAAAGAATGGGACACTCTTCATGGTGCACTCGAGAATACAAATTCTACTGATATTTAACAGCTTAAAGTCTTAAAGCAGCACTTTGGATATGAAAAACATTTCAGCTGAAGGCTCCAAAGTACCTTTCCGTCACAAGAGATTCCAATGTGAGAAGCTAAATACAAATCCCCTTAACATATTGCTGTCCAGCCCCTTGAACCACGGTACAGGCAGAATCCAGCCTGTACTATTGTGCTCAGTAAAAGAATGGCAAAACAATGACAACTACAGTGAAATAAGTGATCTTAACAATTTAATGACAAGCAAGCACGAATACATATACAGTCTAGCCCGCTTATAACGAACCTGAGCATGATGTGGCATCGCTTCGCTGTAGCCCGAAGTTCATAGTAAATGAAACACAGCTTTAAAAAAGTTGCAAGTGAGAACACAACTTTTTTTTTTTTTTTTCAAAGTCCGTGATGCACGTGTCTCAAATAGCAGAAACGACAAGGGTGGTCTCGAGCTTAATATAAGGAGCAGCAAGCTTCTCGTCGCACGAGCGCTTGGCATAGACAAGCTACCAGAGGCTACCAATGTAGCTAATCGCTAAACGCATGCTTGTGAGCACTGCCTCCAAAGTTTTGCCGTCGTCATCATTTGATCCCTTTGAATCAATTTTGCCATGCACGATTCCGCAGTGTTGGCATCATTATTGGCCGCAATGAAATCATCCCAGCAGATGTCTTGCCCTCCCATGTCGGAGTCGATGAAGCCCTGCCACAAATCGTCACCGGCGTGATCCTGTTTGGGAGCTTCAGGCTCGGCACCGGGTTGGATGCCAACGAAATCAACTTCGCTAAAACAGTTTCGCACACATGTAGCTGTCACCTCCGCCCACAAAGCCTTCACCATTTCCATAGCTCAATACAGGGACACCCAAAACCACAAATTGGCTGCTGGGCGGACAACAGCTATGAGCAAGTGCTCCAAAACACGGCACCTAAAATGAAACATGCGCGGATTACGCCCATGCCAAGTGGCTGCACTAACGGTGTTATGTTGAGTGGCAGGAAAAAGCGTGCATAGCCCCCCCATTCACCATCCCGACCACACATGCACACCTACAGCGTGCAGGATGCGCACATGCGACTTACAAGCCAGAATGTGTGATAATGCTTGAGGCCAGTTTCTAGCGAGAAGGAAAAAAAAAAAAAAACTTCTTAAGCCAGCATTGCGGAGCAGTGGAGACTGGTGTAGGAGTTGCAATAGGTGAAGAGAGGGAAGTATACAGCAGGAAGGCGACATTGAAAACCGAAACACAAGAGAAGAAGAAAGGTCGGGTAGCTTGCTTGAAAGGTTCATGAAATGCACTAGTACTCATGCATCGGAAAACTTGGGAGTGGCCTGTGTGCGCAGAAATAAAAGAATTGCATTGTGGCGTTGGCGGGCTTGCACGGCCCCACCGATTTCAATAACTCACGATTTGTTCCACAGCTGTTCTTGCGCATTGTGGGGATCTGAGGTCTGCCCGCGACCATTTCACGGGCATTCCGCCGTACGGCCGCTCCCTTTCCCTGCTTTGGTAATGGCGCGTGGCGATAGATGGCGCCATGCGCGGGCGAGGCACGTGTGACATGCGCGCCGAGAGAGCTCCGCCGTGGTCGGCGCCGGATAAGCATGTGTTTCCTTCGTCCACGTCCCCTTTGGGAATCGCCGGACTGTAGCCTGCCTGCGGGGCCTGGGCATCCCGGCAGGCGTGTTTACTCGAGTGCTAGTTGCGGTACCGTACGCTAAGCCAACAGCGGTGCCTAGTGCTTGAAGTGGTCGTACCACACCAAGCCGCACTTGCGGTAGGCCTATGCGTACGAGGTTTGCCCTAGCTCTCGCGACTAGGCCCAGTGGCCATCGTGAGAGTGCACAGCAAAGCCTAAAGGGACCTTTTCCCGACCGGCGTGTCAAAGCTCGCCATTGCCAGCTGCAACATGCTCGCGGTTTCCCCTTATCGTGAAAGTCCGCGTGCGGGAGCCTTTGCTCTCCGCGTCCTGGGAGCGGGCATTGTACTGTTGCTCGGGGTGCCGCCAAAGGCAATAAAGTATTTGTGTATTTCTGTTATTCGAACACTGTCTATTTTGCCGCGCTGCGCTCAATGCCTTGTTAGCTGGGCGCGCGCGGAGCAGTGCACTACACGCGAGTAGGTGACGGAGTCGCGGTCCTGTGGCACGCTAAGCGTGAACCTGCGGTGATCATCCACTACGGTGAGTAGCAAGGTCACTATAGCATCCGCACACGTGCAGAGAGTATGCCGAGTGGAGTGCGAAGCAAGCGAGAACAGGTCCTAAACACTGAATGAATCCAGACAGGACACAGACGCAGCCGATCGGACAGTTGGGGGGGGGGGGGGGGGGGGCATTGACAAACGGTCTGGTCCCTCTATATTTGGTGAGGGGAGACTAGTCAGCTGACCGGTCCTCGAAAGATATGTGGCAGTGTGAAAACACAGGCCTTGTCTGGGGATACAGGGTGCTCAGAGTAGCGGGCAAAAACAAAGAAAGGACAGCGGGCTTCGTAACAAAATACGGTCGGGGAGAGCGACAACTAGAAGGTTGCAGAGGCAGGGTCAGCATTTAACAATAAGAATATACGGGCACTTATATCAGCGGCACTCAGCGACATTCGTTGCAAGTGCAATTTTGTGCCAATGAAATGATGTATACTTCCACGGTCACGCACTACTTTTTGTTTGTTTGTTTTTTTGTTTGTTTAAGTTTGTTTAAGTGGGGCCGTTATAATTGGGCGTGACTGTAGTACAATATTTACAGACACTAGAGTAATGACACTTTATAGATAGTCGTACAAATAGTTAACAGCATGTTCTCGTGTTAGCAATTAGTGCTTTTTCTATGACTTGCACACCGATTTGTGGTTGATAGAGTTCAACATCCCAAAACAACTCTGGCTATGAGAGACGATGTAGTGAAGGGGGACAGTTGAATATGAATACCTGGAGTTCTTTCATGTGCACTGACACTGGGTCTGTCAAAATGCCATCATGGCCGAAATTGAATCTACCTTTAGGTCAGCAGCTGAGCATCGCAACCACTCAGCCAAAGCAGCAACTACCCGAGGGTTCGTACAGGTTTCCACAAAAGAAATTCAAGAACTTATAAAACCTTTCAAAAAATTTAGGGACCACAATTAACAAAGAATGTTCATATTTTCAAAAATAAAAGGAAGTCTTTCAGTCACTTCTTTTTATATTTGCATCCTAATGCTATCAAGTTCATCTGTATTAACCTTCACAGTCTTTCGCAGGCTGTTGGACTGCTCTAGGTTAGTGGCTGAGGCTAGTGAATGGGATGTATTTTTTTTTAGCAGCTTGATGAGGGATACCACTAAAAGCGAAGCCAAAAGAAGACATTTCAAACACCAATAGAAATCTCTACTACAATAAGCACGACTTTTCTTTTTTTCGGAGAGCTGTAGATGCTGTAGCCTCACTGTTGCGATCAGCTTACGGCTTCTTGCCAACCGCAGTCAAACCAAGTGTGCACACCTCGATCTCGCCAAACTATACAGGCTGTTTGATCGTACCCTGTTTCGAAATCGCGTTGTCACGGAACATGAAGCAATGAAGTTTGCCCAGTACCATGCTCAACTGCCATGAATTGAGAGTTGTACAACCGGACCCTGTGAAAATTCAAAATTTTCAAGAGTTTTCGAAGACTGAAATTAAATTCCAGGACTTTCAAGGCCTTGAAAACAAAATATTAAATTTCAAGGGTTTTTGAGGAATTCAAGGACCTGTGTGCACCCAGCTAACCTAATGCAGTTTGAAAGATAGGGAGTACAAGATATTACATTGCCTGCTAATCTATGGGACTTCTAAAATCTAAAGATTTGTTGCAAGGAGAGAGGAGGCCTGCCAAAAACTGTTTCACGCAGTGCCTCTAATTAGTTCAGGTTAGTTTTGATTTTAAACGGTTACATCAAAGACGCCCTGGAATGCTTTTTGAACAAATCTCAAACCTGTGTCGGTCAGTAGTTGGAACTGTGATTTGAGCCAAATAACACTGTACACAGCAGGAAATCTGCACTTTAGTTCCACAGACTTGCGAAAATTATTTCCTCTCCTCTAAGTAAACCGTGCACCATAACAGCAGAAATGAAAGCTACAGAGGCTAGGTACCAAAGCAGTGAGTGCCGTTAGATACTTCTTAGCTGAAACTGCTACAGCACTGTCGCTTATAAAACACAGCGGTGCAAAAAATCAGAAGAGCCCATCACAGATGACGTATGACTAAAGCGCAAAAGCAACTGCAGGCACAAAATATGATGCTCGCATCAAAGCATGCATTCAGTACACGCAAAGCTACAACAGCCTATGCAGACGCATGCCGTGGTGGTTTAGTGGTTATGGTGCTCGACTGTTGACCCAAAGGTTACGGGAGCGTACCCCAGCTGTGTCGGCCACATTTCAATAAAGGCAACATGCTAGAGTCCTGTGTGCTTAGATTTAGGAGCACACTAAAGAACCCCAGGTGGTCAGACTTTCTGGGGCCCTCTACTGCAGCCTCCCATAGTCATATTGTGGTTTTGGGACATAATACTCCCACAATTATAATTACTGCTTCATGCAGATGCGCAACAGTATTTGGCCAACACACTGCTTCTCAGAGTTAACATGTGTTGACAAAGCGTCAGAGCATTTGCGAACCGAGACAGGCTGCACAATGCAATGCTCTAGAGGTTTAAGTCTTCATGATGTACAGGTGCGATCAAAAGTGTGCAGACCATGGGATCGCGTGGCAGAATGCATTGAAGCGCCAGCTAGCGACTAGACAGACCATGAGATCGCGTAGCAGAATGCATCGAAGTGCCAGCTAGCGACTAGACACTACGAGACACGCGCTGCATGGCACATGAGAAGCAAAGTCTTAAGACTATGCTTCTCATGTCGCTCTGTTGGACGTGGTTACGGTGCTCGTAGCCAAAATGACAACT